GACGAGAAATTTGTTGCCATAAAACTCGCTCAGTCTCTCGACGATCTCGTCGATAGGGTATGTCTTCGCTTTCCATCTCTCGCTATATATTTTAAGAAACAAATAGTTTGATAAAAACCCACATCTAATTGAAATGATAATTGAATTGCATAACAGAGAGACCCTCAAAGTGTGCTGAAATTCAAACTCACGTGTAAGAGCACCGGCGGAACGGTATGAGTGTTATTATAAACATATTTTAAAATAAACTTTTTTACATATCAAGTGAATACAGCACTTAAGACACTCGTATATAACAGTATACGCTATTAATACCGCTTACCGTATATTTTTAATACATATGTTATTATTAGAAACGCTAATACATTATTTGCGCTCAATTTTATTTTTAATATTTTAATTATATTTAATATTATTTTTTTATTTACTTAATAAAGCAGAAAAATAGTTGTAGGAATCAGTGTGTAAGTCATAAATAATGGTGAAAATCATAACATGTATAATTCAATCACTGCTCTCGACATGTCAAACAGATTCGGTATCAGAAATAAAAAACTTTAGCCCAGTTTTCAATCTTAAAACAAAAATGATTACATATATAAATAAAATCTCATTTTTTGACTATCTTTAACCTCTAATCTTTCATTTGATATTTGCATTAAATTTCTTATTTAAGTCAGAAAAACAAGTCTTAATTTTTTGTTGTTTTGTTTCACATTATTTGGATTTATATATATTAATAAAATGCAAGCATTAATATTGCGAATAAATATTGAGTTTTATTTATTATTTTCATCAATAAATTATTGAGTGCTTAACATTTTTGGTAAATAAAAAATAAATAACAAAAAAAGCAAACAACAAAATCTTAATATTAATCAGAAATTTAAATGAAAATTTCATTTAAAATCTGGCGACAGGTTTGCAAATGAGATAAAGTAAATGTGTATTAAAATGTTTGTCTTTTATTTAGGTTATGCTTTCACTTTAAAATTAGTTTTTACTGTTAAGAGACAATAGTATAGTGAAAAAGATAGTATTTTAATGACACAATGAATTAACACATCTCTTAAATAAACACTAATTTAGACTTTTCTTTGTCCAGAACTGAACCCATTATACACACAGAAAGTTATTTTCATTTCCTCATTGTTTTAATCGCTATAAAAACGCTTTTAAAAAGTTCTTATAATTAATAACTTTATGCATAACTTAGTACAAGTATATACGAGTTGTAACATAAGTGTTGTATTCTCTAAACCATAAGCAAAGAACGAGAATTAAAATTAATGATAATTTATTTTTTTTATGATTGTATAGGAAGAGGCATTTTTGCCGGTGACAGGTATGAGCTGAGCATTGATTTGCTAATTCACATAACAAACGCACGATTTATTTAACAAAACAAAATGTAAATGTTTTTCTTGCGGTCTTTATTACGATATTGTGTATTGTATTTGCAGTATATGTTCAGGACGTGAACGATAACTCGCCTGAGTTTCAAAACGTTCCCTACAGTCTAGAAGTGGATGAGGTCTGACTTCTTTAACTATTACATAACATCCCATACAATATATATTTAATATATGATATATATTGGCATATAAACAGTTAACACCAGTTGGACTGACCGTATTTCGTGGTATACATGCACTGGACCGGGACAAACCCAATACTGCCAACTCAGACATTACCTACTCTATTGTGGTGAGGGCTTTGTTTTTGGGCCAATTCTAGTGCTCACACGCCGTAACACAAGCCATAGATCTGATTGAGAATATTTGTCGCACAAATAGGGTGGCAATGAAAACAACTCATTCATCCTTTCCGACCCAATTGAAGGCATACTTGTTATTAATAAGCCATTAGATTACGACAATGGGATCCGAGAATTCAAAATTCAAATCCAAGCGTCGGTACGAAACAAAAACATTAGATAATTACTATTAGAGGCTATTATTAGTGGCTTTTCTAGAGATATAATTGTATAGAATTTAACGCCTTAATACATACTTACGCCTATGTTATACACTATAATGAATAGGACCATGGTAGCCCGATTAGCCTGAGTCAGGTCACAACTATGACCATTCATGTCAAAGATGCTGACGACCAGAACCCGGTCTTCACACAAGAGGTCTATAAGGCGTCGGTTTCAGAAACGGCTAAAATAACGGTACGTTTTGCTATAAACATGTTATCAATTGTATTGCATTTTGAATTGAATTGCATTTTAATGACAGAGCCATGAATTTCTATAAAATTTATTTTATTTGCATAAATACTCACGACTCGAAACAATAGAGTTTTTCTTTACGTTTCTTTTATGCTTGGATTTTATTTTTATTTACAAATATTAAGAAAAACATGAAATCAGATAAAAAACTAGACTTCAATTCGTATATTAAAAATAAGAGAATTTTTTCATATGAATTCGTATTTTTATATTTTATTTGAAAACATTTCTGAAAGTTTCAATTTGTATCTCCAGATAAGATAAACGATTAGTTTATTTATTTAAACGAATAGACAATTAAAGTGAATCTCTGTTTGATTGTGAAAAACTGCAATCATTTTTTGTGGGACAGCCTATTGTTTCCCAAACACAGAGTCGATATCATTCTCTCTCTCTTATATAATATCATATATTTATTCAAATACCAAAAGAAATTGTTTTAAAAGCAATATTAATAATACACTGTAAGTCAGTCATAGCATACCATAAAATATTTTAGGATTTTTTTCCTAAAAGAAAAGTACAAAATAATGAATTGTATTTTTCACAGACGACCCCATTTAGTGTGAACTCCAATCCATTCTTCTCCTTATTTTATAATACTATATATGTTTAGAAAAATTAATTAAAGAATGGATTAATTTTTTTCTTTATACTTATTTTCAGCAGACATACAGTGAATATACGAAAATAAATTTGCGAGAAATGAGTTTTAAATTGAAATAAAGTATTATTTAAAGGTGCAAAACCTTAAACCTTAAAATAACAGTTTCATAACTTAATAAACTTGAAAAAAGTAATAATAATTTATTTCTCTCATTACTTCTGAAACATAAGATATATTATTAAATGAACTGAAATTTAATTAATGTGATGAACATTAGGGCCATCGTATACGGGATAAAGTTGTGGTACAGCCCGCTATTCACGCGTTTGATTTGGACACTGGAATTAATGCCAGATTACGATACACTATAATCTTAGGTAAAAAAAACTACATTTGACTTCAATCTCTTTCAATTCTGTTGATTATTCCGGCGATGAGTTAATTATAGGGTTATTCCTGATAAGAAAAGTCGGTCACTTTCCAATCACACATCACAACAACCTAACCAAACAGTTTGCGTATATGTTATATAAATATAATTATAATTAATGTTTTGAGTCTAAGGCGATGTGTTTTTTTTGCTGTAATCGCCAAAACGATTTGAGTCCTGATAATTGATATGATATTACAGATTAAGTCAAAAGCGATTTTGTTTTTGTGTTAGTTTTTTTCCGAAGAGCTCTTCCACTCCAACATATGATAACTCTTCGTATTTCAGGAATTTTCATTTAAAAAGAGGTCATTTCTAATATGAAATACATATCAAAAAATTTTGTTGTCTTTTCAAGAAAATTACTCAAAAATATAGTTAAAATATAGTGCAAAAAACAGGAATTATCTGGAAATCATCTAAAGTATAGATTGTTTTGATGCAATCAATGGTTAATTGAAAAAAATAAAACAATTTTCAAAAAGGAGTGGTTTTCTGTAATTCACATCTTTTAAAGCGATTATATTTATAATTATATATGATTTTTATAGTGAAGTACTGTTTTATTCATAGGAAATGCGATTGAACTCAATATATGTATAGGAATTACATTCAATTTTCATTGCATTATAAAAAGGGGATTAAATTGTGTAAATAATTTGACTTCTTCGCCGTCCGTCTGATATTATGTAATGAATATGAGCTGAAAATTCACTTTTAAATTCATAAAAATAATTACATTTTCTTTTCTTTTATTTAATCCTGTATTCAAAGGAATGCAATTGAAAAGCGTTTTGTAATTCATATAATAAAATGAGGAAATAATCTTTTTAGCAAAACATGCATTTTAAATATGACTTAGTTTTGTATGTTTTTTAAATAATTTATCGCTTTTGAAAATATTTGCAAATATTAATTGAAAAATAATGCCTAATTAGAGCCACAGGAAAAAACAGTGTTGTGTTGTGTAATGCAATCTTCCTTATGATAAACTAAACTTACATTTGAAGAGAAATATTGTTTTGAATACTTTTAAATTGTTATTCAATGCGTGAATAATTATTAGTTTTAAAAGTCATTTTCAACGCAACCATTCAATCGCTAAAAAAATTGTGAATAAAATTGTGAATTAAATTTGAAATAAAAATAACAATTTAGTAGAAATACGGCTTTATTTTCTAAATATATGTACAAAACTATGAAATTAGATATAATGACATTTTCGCAGACATTTGTTTACACGTTAGGAACTTTCTAATGACTTATTTGGGTATTATATTTATATATTTAACATTAAGTTAAACTATAAAAATAACAATCATGAAAGAAATACTCGATTTCGACGGCTTTATTTGTGAAATTATAAAATAATTATCTTTTTATTTGAATTTTATTTAAACTTTATTTTTAAAATACATTTGCTTTGAGAAAGAAATATGCGATTTGTTATTACTATTAAATTAGTTTTAATATCACTTTTGCCTTATTTGTAATTTCGCTGAAGGGTTTGCTAACGAATAAATAAATTCATTTAAGATATATATATATACATATAATAACAACCAAAAGGCTTTTTCAGGAACTAATCAAATGATTTGGGGAAATATATTCAGAGAGAGAGAGAGAGAGAGAAAAACAGAGATACATATCTATTATTGAATGCTATTTATAGAAATTGTTAAATTTTCAAACATTTTGCAAAATAATTTGTAATTTTAAATTATTTAATGAGTGATTTCGGAAAAAAGTGACCGACTTTTAGGGCAGCAGAAAGGGCTTAAGTATAATGAGTGAAGCTATATATAAAGTATTTGCACATGATATATTTAATACCATGAATTGAATTGAAGGTAACGAGGGTGGATTCTTTGAAATGCATGACCAAACCGGTGAACTGTTTCTCGTACGCGAAATCGATTTGGAAAGTCTGCCAAACGCTGTACTCAGTCTTCAAATACAGGTAATCATAATAACACAACGACTTCTTGTGTTTAACTAAAACTCTTTGTTTTTTGCCTTCTTTTCCTCTCTTCCAATCAAATAACAAGAAAAATATGAGAAAATAATAGCAATAATTGAATATTTTGCGAATGAGAACTGATTTTAATCGGTTAACCGGATTCCGTAGTCATATATATTTTAAATACCGTTCAATAAATGTGTTTAATTTTTGTTTATATTTTCGTTGCCTATGTTTGCCAACCCCTCCCCACTTTGCCCGCACTTCAGGGGGTGAAACGAGCGAAACGTTTAGACATTAACTAATTGTACGGGTAATTGATTTCTATAGACTGACGGTTTAATTGAAATAAACATTAGTATATATGTTATGCAGGATAGCATTGAAACTATTTTAAGGCTTATTCTTCCTCAATAATTATGTTATTTCGCAACAATTCAATAGATTTGTAGAAAAGTCTTAATTTTAAGCAAAAGTTGAGTCTGTTTTTTACGTGAGAATTCAGTTTTAAAACCTCAAAACAATTGTATTAAAAATACAGATCACAAAAAGTTATATTTTGTAAACCATAAACATATTTATTATAAAAAACTTTACATGAATTCTTGTTTTAAAATAAGAAAATAATAACAAAAACTAAAACAAAATCTGTCAAAAAAAATAGCAGAAAGTCTGGTAAAGAGAAATGTAAGTCAGGGACAGCACAATAAGATATAGAAAACTGATACGAGAAAAACACAAGTTATATGTATTGAACGGACAGATTAATTGTAATTATATATTATACTTATTATTATTATTTCACTCGATATAAAGGAATTATAGCTCTGCTGGACTGCATTGAACTGATATTTGACTTTGACTTTAACTCCCAAACCATTTTCATTGTTATATTCTCATAAAGAGTTACACCTATTCTTCAATTATATTGTCGACAGTTATATTTTATCGCTTTAAACGTGTTATAAATTTATTGAATAATTGGGAACAAAACCCGTAATCCGAGTTCTGGTCCGTAACTCCTGGAGAGCACAGTAGCCTATATTCAATCACATTTCATACTAACTCTATTTGATATCTAATAATTACATTTGATTTACGGATTGGGAAAGAAAAATATTATTTTCAAAATCTTTTTAACACAAATAAAAAATTCAATGCAAAAAATCCTCTTTCAATCACTCAATAAAGAGATTAAACAATCATTTTTTTTGGTCCGGTTTTGCAAATACGCTAATCATTCAAATATTTCCACATATTTAGCACTAATTATTCAATACAAACACTCAATAAACTAATCTAATATAAAAAATTTGCATTTAATATTACCACACAATAGGCGGCACAGGTAGACAACCCGTTACGGCAGGCATTGGCCAGAGTTGACGTGTTTGTGATGGATGTGGTATGTGTTGAACACAATATAACAATTACCTGTCAATAAAATATAAGTCAATCATAAAACATAACACTAATAAAAAATGCAAATATAATTAACAGAACGATAATTCGCCTGAATTTGAATACGATATGTATAACATAACTGTGATGGAGAACCTGCCGCCGGGTTTCACTGTCCTTCAAGTGTTTGCTGTGGACACCGATAAGGGAGAGAACGCGCACTTCAAGTATGTGTTGGACGACGGCTCGGGTGCCTTCAAGATCGATGAGAACACCGGTTGGATCTCTGTTAAGGACCCGACGAGACTCGACCGCGAGAACAACGATCGCATCCAAATGAAAGTGTCGGCCATTGAGCGCAAGCCTAACATCAATCCCGAGTCGACGAAAGCCAAGTTCACGACCGTTGAGCTCAACCTATTGGACGCCAACGACAATAATCCGCAATTCTTTCCAACAAATCTGTATACGTTTAGTGTGTTAGAGACGGCTCCGGCCGGTACTATAGTGGGCAGTGTTTATGCCAATGATAAGGATCTTAACGAAAACGGAAGAGTGTTTTATTACAAACAAAACGATACCACCAGTCAAAGTGTGCCCTTCGATGTCTTCCCTCACAACGGCTCAGTCCATGTGATCGACACATTCCCGCACTTGGCCTCAAAGCCCAGTCAATACACGTTCTTCATAGTAGCCTCCGATTCGGCCAAAATCAAGTTCGAGAGACGAACCGGTGTTTCAATCGTCAAAATCAATGTCACGGATATTAATAACAGTATTCCCGAGTTTATTGGCGCCCCTTTCGAGGCATATGTGGGCGAATCGCTGCCCGAAGGGGCGTATGTCACACAAATCATGGCCAGAGATGCCGACCCCACAGACCTTAATCTCGAGTTTTCAATCGTCGCCGGAAATGACGAGAAGTTATTTATTATTGATTCAAAAAGTGGCCGAATATTTACGGCCGCAGTTTTGGATTACGAAAGAAAACAAAGTTACGACCTTCTGGTGCAAGTGTCCGATGGCATCAACACTGCCGTCGCACCACTTCTTGTGAATTTAGTTGATATTAATGATAACGCACCGCATTTTACACACAATTTCTACAACTTTTCTGTAAGTCTTAAGCAATTTTTATTTATTTGTTAAATATTTATTTATGCAAAATCTGTTCAGTGTGTCGAAGAAATGGCTGAAAATATGACAATCGGTTCAGTGCTTGCATTAGACAGAGATTCCGGTAAAAACTCTGTCATCAGATATAGTATTATCGGAGACCACGCGAGCGATGCTTTCTTTATAGAGCCCTTCACTGGGAATATAAAAACCCGTTTACGTCTCGATCGGGAATCCGAGTCCAGAATCGAGTTTATGGTCATTGCATACGATAACGGTATTCCTCAGTTGAGTGGAACCGCTAGTGTTGTTGTGGCCATTGAGGACATCAACGATAACGCGCCCTTCTTCGAGCAAAGCCAATACACCATTGAAGTGTCCGAAGAAATGGATCCACCCATCGATGTATTCCAAGTGAAAGCTAGCGATCGCGACGCCAACGATAACGCGGTCATCAAATACTTGATATTAGCGGGAAATGAAGACAACGCTTTCAATATAAACCCAGAATCGGGTCTTTTGTCGACCGCAGAGAAACTCAATTATGAATTCAAAACTGAATACAAGCTCTTTGTTGCGGCCAGAAATCTGCGACCATTTCAAGGCCCGAATGCGGCCAATATTATCAACCCGTCTGTTGAGGTGACGATTAGAGTACGCGATATCAACGATGAGTTGGTTGTCTTTGACCAGCAGTCCTATCACTTTAGGATATTTGAAAGTATGCCCCGAAACCAAGTGGTCGGTCACGTGAACGCCACAAATCCCGGCCGACTGTCCAATGAACAGGACATCATCTATTGGATCGGCGAAGAGAATAGGAAACAGAAGGGAAAGTTTGCCATCAATTCAAAAACAGGCGAATTATCTCTAAAGGATGTCATCGATAGAGATATGCCTTCAAATGAACAATCATTCAAATTGAAAGTATATGCGAGGGATAGGCTATCAATCAACTCATTTAACACAAGTGTTCCGGTGATCATCGATGTGATCGATGTGGTCAGTCATCCATTCAATTATCATTATCTAATTTTTAAATTATTTTTGTTTTTTATTACTTTTCAATTACATACTAACAGTTATATTATTAATATAATTCCCAAAACCACTTATAATGACTATTTTGCCATCAATTGATTGGCTTTTCCTGAATCGTGATTTAATGACTAAATTTAAAAACAATTAGATTATAATATAATCATATAATGAGCAGAAAAGGCTATATATTTCGCATCGAAACGACTCCTTATTAGCATCTAATTATATATTGATTAGTTTCCACGCATTCAACGCATTAATACATTTTAATTGAGATATTTTTATATCATTTTTATTACAGAACGATAATTCGCCCGTTTTTAATGAGGACAGGTATCTATTGTGACCTCCATTTCCTTACAGTATTATAGACTTAAAGTATTATTTGATTTTTATAGATATGTCTTAGAATTACCAGAGAGTATACCCCCGGGAACTACTTTCCCGACCTTTTATCGCGTCAATGATCTGGACTCAGGCGCTAACGGAAAGATCGCCGCCTATTATCTCAACGCAACACAAGAAGACCTACAGATGTTTGCTATTAATAACATTACTGGAGTCATAACATTGATATCTGCACTCGATTTTGAGACCAAAGATAAGCACGAGTTTGGGATTATAGCGGTGGACGGCGGACAGCCGCCCAATATAGGCACCGCCACTGTTGTGGTCAATGTGGCCAACATTAATGAATATTCACCAAAGTTTGTGGGACTTCCCTATGAGTTCTTAGTGCAGGAAAAGGCATTTGAGGGCACGAGTGTCGGGCAGATCAGGGCTGTGGACGAAGACGGGAATGTCATAAAGTATGCCATCTCTGACGGCGACACCGAATACTTCAACATAGAAGAGGACAGCGGAAGGATATTTGTCCGAAAGCCACTCATTTCCAAAATTCAGTACTCATTCATAGCGCGGGCCACCGATGACGGCGTCCCACAGAACTTTAGTTTAGGCGTTCAGGTGATCGTTAAGGTTCGCGAGAGTAATGATTATCCGCCGATATTTACGTCAAGCAATTATCACGGAGTGGTCGTCGAGAAGCGGGAAACAGATAAAGTGATTGTTAGAGTGGAAGCCGTCGACAAAGACTTGCAAAACAATTCAGTTGTGTATTCACTGGTCGGCGGAAATGAAGACTCAATTTTTACCATAAACAACAAAAACGGTGAAATAAAAGTGGTTCCGGGAGTTGGCGTTAAAATCAATTATGACGTTAAGAAACAGTACGCGCTGTTAGTACAGGCGTCTGATTCACACAACACTCCCCTCTACGGCCTAACTATGGTTGTGATCGACGTTCAGGACACCAGTGAGTGAACCCGTTGTTTATCTTAATGTATTGCTAGACTAATGTGGATATCTCTCAAACTAGATGATCACCCGCCGGTGTTTACCAAATCTGCTTATTCGGCAACTCTTAACGAGAATCTTCCGGCCGGTCATTGTTTCCTCACACTTGAGTCCAACTCACGAGACACTGTCGATAGTGTCTCTTATCTTCTCTCCAATAGTAAAGATCAAAATGTTTTTGCCGTCAATAAACAGACGGGAGAAATATGTACTAAAAAGGTGTTGGACAGGGAGGTCAAGGATAAGTATGAGTTTGCAGTCGTGGCCACCGATGGAAAGTATGAAGTATTGGTTCCGGTCTCAGTCGGTAATGCATTATTAAACTCAAAAATCTTATCAAATAATTAATTAAACGCTCCATAAAATAGAAATAATGGACGAGAACGACAATCCACCCCGTTTTGAACAGGATAAATATCTTATATCCATACCATACGACTTGCATCCGGGCCAGAGTGTGGTGCAGGTGCAGGCGTCCGACCCGGACAGTGCCAACAACGGGGACGTCACCTATTGGATCAAGAATACTCACGGGATGTTTGAAATCGATGCCAAAACCGGTTTAGTCCGACTCGTGGCTAATCTGCCGAAAGACAAGCAAAACGCCACTTACGAGATGGAAGTGTTCGCTCAGGACCACGGGGTCACTCCCAATATCGGCAAATCAGTTCTAGTCGTGAGGGCGTCAAACACTATAAACCATCCGCCAAAGTTTGATCGCTTCTCATACTCTGTCAACGTTGACGAAAACATTACGGGAATACCGTTAATACAAGTGCTGGCGTTAGATCCCGACCCCGGAAAGGCCGGGAAAGTCATTTATAGGATCGTCAAGTCGTCCAATCCTAACGCCTTCCGGATCGACAAAAACACCGGTAGAATCACATTAGAGTCGGCGCTCGACTACGAGTCCAGCAAATTTCACGAGATTGTGGTCGAGGCCAGGGATGAGGCCAAGGAATCGCAGTCTGCCGTCACTGTAGTACAGATTCACGTCAATGATATGGTAAGTGTTGGCCAAATATTTTAAATATCAAACCATTTCTTATTATTTGGTAATTAATTGACAGAACGATAATTCTCCGGAAATATTGTCAATGCCTCGCATTCTTCGGGTCCCGCAATCGGTGTCGCCAAACAGTGAAGTCATATATACCGTGCAATCAATAGACTTAGACAGCGATCGTAACGGCAATAATCAAGTGGTTTACGCACTCGAACCTCAAAGTCATTTCTTCGCCATTAATGCAATGACAGGACAGGTATTCGCGACACAAAAACTCATACCAATGACCGAAACGCTGCGAGTGATCGCCACCGATAAGGCCAGCGCTGGCCATCTGTTCAGCTCTAAAGACTTGCGGATCGAAGTGTACAAAGACTCGATAGAAGAGCCCACACCTGTGTTCACATCAGTGCAATACTTTGTCCAAAGCGACTCAGCCTTAGAGCCGGGCGCCACTGTTCTCACACCGCGGGCCACAATTCCCAACGGCTCTCCCGTTTGGTATAACATCTCGAGCGTCAGCGCCGGTCAATACAACTCGAAGAAGTTCAATATAGACCACGACTCCGGACGCATATTCACCACCAATAGACTCGATCCGTTGGATCTGAAACAAAATGTTTACCATTTTATTGTTTCGGCTCATAATAGACGGGAACCGTTGCATTACTCAGAAGCCGGTGTTGTAATCCGTCTCCTAGACATCAACACCCGGTGCCCTAAATTCCCGTTCAGTGAATATTACGCGTCCATCAAAGAAAATTCACCGCCAGATATGATTGTTTTGCCGGATCTGCTCATTGAAGATGTGGATAAATTCATGGGTCAACGGCTCTCATACCAAATCACTGAAGACAATTCAAATGATAATTTCTACATCGATGTCCGAAACGGTGATAATATGCCCACAAATGTCACACTTCGGGTCAAGAAACTGATAGATCGCGACTCTATGGCTAAGTTCTTGCAGGGAATCCATACGTTAGCCATCACTGCTGGTACTCTCAAGTGTTCAGCAAATACTAGAGTCAAAATTTTTGTTGAAGATGTAAATAAATCTAATTTTTAAGAATTATTGAATGTTTGCTAAACTTTTTAACTTTATTATTAGGTCAACGATAATAACCCAGTGTTTATTCAAAGCGATTTCATTGTTGAGTTGAAAGAAAACACACCCATTGGTCAAGTGGTGACCACTTTGATGGCCACCGATAAGGACGAAGTGGACGCCGGAAAGTTGACATATCATGTGATGGAAGGCAATGAAGACGAGATGTTTGACTTGGAGGAGAAGACAGGCGTACTGTCCGTTAAGATAGTGCCCGATAGGGAACGATCGCCCGCTTATGTGCTGCGAGTGGTGGCGGTCGACAGCGCCAACAATACCGGTTGGACTAATGTTCACATCATTATTCTCGATGAGAACGACTGGACGCCCACTTTCCTCAACGAGACGTTTGTTCTCAACGTAACCGAAGGGCCGACAAGTATTGGGACGCGAATGAGATTACCTGTCGTTGATTACGACGACGGCATTAACAGACAAATGGAGGTCTATATCGTCGACGGAAACTCAAACGGAGAGTTCCGACTCGATGTGGACGAAGGCGGACCTCTTCTGACCATTGTTTCCGAATTGGATCGCGAAAAGTATAACGTGAAAGACTCGGCTCTTCACCTGCTGTTCGTGGCGGCCAAAGACAAGGGATCGCCTCAACGCGTTGGCAAAGCGATGGTTGCAGTGGTTATTGAAGACATCAATGACTCGCCGCCGAAGTTTGAACGCGACTCCTATTATCAGTTTATATCAGAAGACGCGCCCATCGGTATAGTTGTTGCAGAACTCAAGGCCACAGACGCCGACTCTTCCGTTAATACAAACCTCGTTTACTCTTTTGCCAAAAATGCAGGAAATGGTAATAAAATAATTGGTTATAATTTGCATAATTGTATTAAAATTAATTCATTACCTGACAGTTCCGTTCGCTATCGACCCCCTGACCGGTATTGTTAACATTTCACGACAACTGGATATCTCTGAGAACCAACAATACCTCATAACTGTTGAGGCATTTGATGGTCAATGGAAATCGACTGTACGTAAAATAATGATATTTATTTGTTTAACAAAAATTAACATGAATTTAATTTATTATTTTAGACGACATTAAATGTAATCGTAAGCGAAGCCGAGGAAAGGGATCCCCGTTTTGATCACTCCCACTATCGGTTCGCTGTCCTCGAGAACCAATCGGGAGTTTTGGTCGGAAGGGTTGAGCTCAAGCCCAGAAAGCATCGAATCAATGCATTAATGAAGTATACAATTGTCAATTCAGAGATGAAATCTATCTTCAATATAACGATGGTATGTATTTTCAATATTGCCTTTAGTTATTATTTGTTTAGCAATAATTTTAACATTTTTCAATTTACTAAAAGGACGGAGAAATCTACACAAAAGTAGGATTAGATCGCGAAAAGAGGAGTAATTATATATTCACTGTTAAACTGGAGGAGAAGAGACCGACCACTAAGATTGTGAGATAATTTCTCAAACGGTGTAATTAATTAATTTCATAACCAAAATGCCTTTAAATATTTCTAACAGAGTGTGAGTGAAGTGATTGTGGATGTGTTGGATATGAACGATGAGGTGCCGGCGTTTAGTACGATATATAGGGGACACATCAAAGAGAACTCATTGCCGGGAACTTCGGTCACAATTTTGCCCCAAATCCACGCCAACGATAAGGACGCCGGAAATAACTCGATCATAGCCTATAGCCTGTCCGGAGAGGGAAGCGATTTATTTACAATTCTCGATTCGGGAACAGTTTTGTTCACTCCAAGAGATCCGCGACAAGTGATTGATCGCGAAGCCAAAGCCAAATATGACCTGAAAGTGACGGCAATGGATTGGGGGAACTTGAGCTCCACCACCGATCTGACCATCACTGTGGAGGACGAGAATGACAATTCGCCAGTATTCCAGCATGGTCCTCTATTCGTGCTGCTGCCAGAGATAGCTCGTCCGGGATCTAAAGTGGTCGAAGTGAAGGCCACCGACGCCGACGAAAGTGGACCCAATTCTAAGATCCAATACTATATCACAAACGGCGCGAAAGGAGACATACGTATTGACCGGTCGACCGGCGAGATCTTCGTTGTCGGCGCTCTAATACCCGGAACTGTTTACTACTTGAATGTGTCGGCCGTTGACGGCAATGGATTGGCCGCTAAGACCAATGTTAACGTCACTATTGTTGACGTATGTCTTTATTTTGTTATTTATATGAATTAATTGTTATAATAAGATGTGTTGTCTTAAATCAGGTGAACAATCATAGGCCTACTTTCGACAGCACTCACTATCAGTTCAATGTATTGGAAGGCAATTATACGGCAAACAAACTAAAGTTGGGTGTCTTGAGGGCCAAAGATGAGGATATCGGCAAAAACGGTGTCGTCGAGTATACAATACTCAACAGCGTTGCAGTCGGTCTGTACTAATGACTTATAAATTTAAATTATATACATTGTATTTATTAATTTTTATTTTAATTATCAATTTTATACTTGTTTTTAATTGATATGCAAAGTGTTCCCAATTATTACCCGAATCTGAATATCTAATTGAAATCCACTTTTTTGTTTATTAGTTTGTTTTTTGTCATATTTTTGTGCAAAAATTAATATTTCTTGCACTCATTATAAGTACTCATTATTTTTTAGATTTAATTCATACATAATTTACATGATTCTCAAAATTAATGAGACGTCTAATCGATATTTGTATGAATTTTTAGCTCATTTACTTATTGCGAGATTCAGTTAAGATATGAAACTTTATTTTAATAACAGCTTTATTTTAATTTTAAAAAACAATAATTTTCGTTAATTATTGTAATGAATTCATGTATTGTTTAGTTTTAACTCACAATTATCTGATTAATCACAAATACTCATTAAAATCGTGGAAATAAACAAAACAAACTAATGCTTACATATTTGATTATTAAGATAAAGGAATCTTCGAGTCTTATATTTCGATTATTAAGTATTTATAATTAATTTTATACATTATATGTGTCTATGAGTTGAGACAAGATAGCGATCTCTATAATGGGTTATATAAGAAATAAAAACTGATCGCAAGTCTAATAAGAAGAATATAAATAAATAAAGAGATGTAGAGATCGATGACATTATGTGTGCAACAAATTCCTATATGTATCGCAACTGTGAGTGAAACACACATTAAATGCATTATCCATTTGATGCTTGACTCCCACCAAAAGAATGATGTGATCTCCTGTTAGGGCTGTTAGGGCTCTACTAATAGCAATGTTTGCATTGAGATGTGAATTACTTTTACTGATCCCTTAGACTTCCGCTTCTTTAGTTTTTCATGTCTATTATAACTGTTTGGCTCCAGAAATGCTTTGACATTGAGGTGAACAGTAATGTCTCGGATGGAGTCCTAAATGCCAAAAGTGGGTCAATTCAATGCTTGATTCAATTTGGGAACCATTTGTTTCTCTCTCTTCAAAAACATCAATAAATGACCCCTTTTTACACAAAAATATATCTCAAACACTGTCTTCTCGATAAAATTCACACAATAATTACTATTATCATATATTTGGTACAGATTTTCCCTTTTCCATCGATGTCCACACCGGAGAACTGTTTGCCAAAGGATTCATTGATAGGGAACACAGAGAAACATATAATTTTGAAGTGACGGTAATCACAATATATAGACTATGAAACAACCATTGATTGTTATGTAATCATAAATTATTATCTAAACATACTGTACAGGCTTTAGACTCTGGAGAACCGCCCAATAATTCCAGCACAGAAGTGAAGATAGTTGTGGTCAGTATTGCACTCACTATTCATTACATAAAAAATACTTTCGCTATAAAACATAAAAAATAAAAGATATAAAAATTGAATTTATAGAAAAAATATTAATATATCATTCGTTGAATATGAACTCAAAATAGATTTAAATACATATAAAGCATAATTTTATCAGAAATAATGGTTGAATTATTTTTATCAATATGAACCAAATATAGTTCAGTAGTATAAAACTTGTAGTATTTATTTTGTATATAAAATTTACAATAAATGAGTGAATGGATCGATTGTGATTTGGTCTATCAGATTATGAGATGTGTTTTATAAAATAAAAATTGGTGTATGGTTAAATTTACTTAAGGCTATTGATATTGATCAAAAAACACTAACAATAAATAAGCTACATTGATTAAATTAATAGAAAGCATAGTTTATTGTAGTGAAATGTGGTTTTTCTCATAAAGTAAGGCCATTCACAAAAATATTAATTCACATTAGAATATTTTTGTGTTAGAAACAATATGATACAATTAATATACTGTATCAATTTAAACATGCTATGTACTTTAGTTCTCCGTTTATAAAAGATGTCAAAAATAAACAAAAGCATTTAATTTAGTCCATCCTTATAATTAGTTGCAGACATTTATTTATTAGATTATTAACTGATTGTAGTACAATATATTTAATAATACAGTACATATTAGCGAAAAATAAAACATGGTTATTAAAACATGGCAAAAAACTACATGCTTACTATTAATTATTGAAAACTAATTAATTGTATATAAAACAGAATGATCGGAACGATGAAAGGCCAAGATTTTATACGGATCCTTATTTAGCTCACGTGCCCGAGAATTTAGACCCGGGACACAAAGTGACACAAATTGTTGCATTTGATCCCGATATGGGAGAGAACGGACAGGTCTTCTATAAGTTAGGCGAAGGACATGACAACAAGTTTTACATCGATGGCAAAGGTTTGTCTCATTTTTTTGGCTAAATTTTGAGATAAATTTTAAATTTAATATTTTTGTCACAATAGACGGAACCGTTTGGACTCTTTCGACATTAGATTACGAGGAGAAGAGCTTCTATAACATAACTGTCATCGCATACGATAAGGGAAGTCCGAGTCTGAGTTCAGTGGCTAAGCTATGGGTGACAGTCGCCGACACATCCGATTCTGTGCCCGACTTTGCGAAAGCCGTTTACACTCTAGAAGTGGCCGAAAACGCCAAACCCGGGGATACAGTGTTTACAATGAATGCCGGCGACGGACCCTTCAAATACACACTTCTGAGTGAGTGATCATTAAGTGTTGACATTATCTACACTTTTGTTGTGCTAATAAAAGCAATACATAAACTAAATCTGAAGTTCTGCTCCATTTTGTCACGACTCTAACAAACACTCAAAATAATAATTTAGCAAATCTTTTGTCATTTCGTTTATAAACATTTTCTACAGATTCAGACGAAATGAAAACCTTTTCTATCGAACAAAGCAATGGAAGAGTAAAACTGACGAAAGCGTTGGATAGCGTCCACAGAAATCATTACAGACTTCTTGTTAAGGCAGAGGACGACAGCGAACCACCAAAATCTGATACAACAGAAGTGAGTCGTGTTTTCATACAATTATTGTTTCGACGAAGGAATCATTTAAGTGACAGCTCTTTATTAGAGCATCGCTTCTATTATATGACTCTCTCTCTCTCTCTCTCTCTCTCTCTCTC